ATGTTCATAAATCCCAGGCCCTGAAGATGATCTCAATAAAGATCGAAACGTTGGCACGATAAAGAAAATGTTTTTCTGAAACCTACATCACACCAGACCACATCTCATGATCTACAAGTAATTTCATAACGAGGTTAAACGATGGTTCAATCATTAAAAAATAAACAAATTAGAATCTGCAACAATTAACATGACAACAAATATAAGTTCTTTAAATATTTAATTAGTACTTACAACTATGTTGTCATGTACATTCTTATCGGGTCCTGTACACATCATATTACGGACATTATATATTAACCTTTCATTAGCAATTCTATATGCTAAAATTCGAGAGTAACGTTTCAATTAACAATACGTCTTTGGCTTTAAATTGCAATTGTTTAATATAGTCATTACAGATACATTTGAATATACCTTAAAGTATATTACGTGCTACATTAATTATGGTCCTCCTTGAATGATGAGAATTAAAACTTAAAATCCGTATATTGGAACCACAAGGATTTAACGTTATATCGAGATATGCTAACATCACACGTATCTCCTCTTCACATGTGAACTTGATCTTAGGGTGATGGGAATTGAACATCTCCAGAGTTAACTCAAAAATTCCCTTGGAATTATCAGAAACAAATCATCAAAATACTTTTATAGCTTTTAGCTCAATGGTACATTGAGGAATCAGCCAGTCAATCAAGTCATTCCAAGTCAGCAAGAATGATAGACAAGCAATTACACACGGCTGCTCAATCAATTCTATCATAGTATGTATCTGAAAATTGAAACTAATTTCTCAACTCCGTTAGTTCCAAAGTCTTAAGCAACGTGTCAAAAGGGATAAGGGATATATAATCACATAAAGTTTTTAAGTCCAATATAAAAAAAAATAAGACCGAGTGGTATGCTTGTGAACAGAGATTTCACGTCGAACGAGATCATAATTTCATCATTTTCTATGCTTAATGTGCTAACACAATTTGTACACTCAAAAGAATTCTTAACATTATATTTTTTATATAGGTCGTCTAATTACTTAGTATTTTTGATATTAATTTAGGTATAGCAAAGGCAGGAGAACGCACACCATTAACAATAGGTCTGTAATTAACATTTGGTTTGTGAGGCTTAGGAAGTTCATAAAGTTTTGGAGCTTCAGAATTATGTGCCTTTAACGCATAAATGCCTTTTTATCAATGATTTTTATGTTAAACAACTCATCCACTAGCTTTTTATAAAGATTTTCCAAATGTTGTGAGAGATCTCTGCTCAAATTGTATAGATCTCATCATTTAACATTTTGGACATTCCTTGATTATAATGTTAATGTAATTGTCCTTCGTAATAATGGTGCAGCCTTGAAGGCTTGGCAACCTCTCTAAAGCATATGCTGTACT